GCTATTAGAAACGGAGGTGACTAGACACCCAAAAGGATTTTAATATGTATTGTCTTTCTGTATGTTATGAGGGGGGTTGGCTGCCTTTCTCAGGGGTATCATACTGTAATAAAACTTGTAAAACAAACTGTTGTGTGTTCCTTATTTTCTTGTGTCTGTAGGCAGAACAGAGAGCTCCGGTAACGGATTCTTTACTATGCCCCAACATAGACTGCAGACCTGACCCTATATATCTATGCTTTTGACAGCCCCCTTGCTTTTCCAGCTGTCACAGCGCTTGATACAGCCCAGCGGCAATCCGTTCTATTTTAAAACCTGCCTATTCACGATTTTTCTTTTCTTTGCTTTCCTACTAGGCTTCCCATCTAAACACTCCATTTTTAGACTGGTTTCTCAGAGCTTTGTGATCTTCTGAAATGAGTAAAAGTAAGCGGCTCCTCCATTGCCTGTGTTACTGAAGGGGCAGACTGCATTGTGGAAGGAATTGTGTGGGGCAGTAATTGTGATGCCTGCAGGAAGTATGGAGGCAATTTGTTCATTTGTGAATTGTCTTTGAAAAGAGAGCGATGATAGCTCGGTAGAGAAGATCAGACTGGCACATTAATTCAGACTGGATGGCTTGCTGTTAAAAATCATTAGGCTTTTGCTTCATTCAGACAATATGCTTTGACAATACATTTTTTATGCACCTTTTCATGCTGTGCAATGGTTTACATGCTTGCTGCATTTACATTTTTGGTAAGGGATGGAATACTTAGTTTTTTGTTTAAACAAAGTGCTAGGTTAGGTCTGCTTTTCACTCCAGGTATTTACTAAAATACTAACAATTATGGAAAGCCAGTTCTGCATTTGTTTAAAAAAAAAAAAAAGTCTTCTAAGAAAATTCTGCATCATGTTACAGAAAGTAGTACTGCTAAACGTAATGGGGATGATTTATTACCACTTGCCTACTGGGCACTTTCACCCCCTTCCTGTCAAGACCAATTTTCAGCTTTCAGTACTATTTCACTTCGACTACTCCACGGTCATGCAACACTGTGTGAAATTTGTATTTTTTTTTTTATTTATTTATTTATTTTTAGACATCTAGAGCTTCCTTTTGTGGTATTTAATCACCACTGGGTTTATTTTTTGCTAAACGAACATTTTGAGAAATTTTTTTCCTTAGTTTTGTTATACAATTTTGCAAACAGGTAATTTTTCTCCTTTACCGATGGATCACTGATGGACGCTGATGGGTACTGATAAGGTGGTACTGATGGACACTGTTTGGGCTGGGCGCTGCACTGGACTGCCTCTTGATTTATTTATTTTTTTATAAAATACACTTACCAATTACTGGCTCTCCTCTTTCCTCACGGTGTCACAGCATGAGGAAAACTGTATTTACATTGTGATCAGCTGTTTCTTTGGACACAGCTGATTACGTGTTAAAAGGGTGCTGTGATTGGCCCTTTACCATGATGTGTGATCTGCTGTGTCAGGACACAGCGATCACAGAGCACGCCAGGGGGTGCGGCTCTGGAGGATGTCATATGATGCCCTCCTAGAACTAGACAACTGCACTGTAGCCATTATTCAGCTATATCCTGGTCGTCAAGTGGTTAAAGGCAATATAAATGTGCAGTTGCTTCAGAGATGCGTAAATGGAGATGGGGTAAAGCTTTGGATTGCCCTTAAGGAATAATGGCACCGCAAGTGCGATGTGCGTTTCTGGAAACGGGCAGAAATGTGCATTTCCGCCCGTATTCCCCAAATGGTTAGGTGTAAATACAGCCTTGCAGAAGTCCACTTGTGACTGATTCTTAGAAATGTTTGACCCAAGTTAGCAAATTTTTTTTTTTTTTTTTTTTTTTTTTTTTTATTAAGGTTAGCTGTCAGATGTTTGTATTTTTTTTGTTTTGGTTTTTTTTTTTTTTTTTTTTTTCTACTGGTGTCCCTGTTTCCTTCACTGCTAACAGGTGTCACCAGAATAGGTGAGGAGAAATGGGGACAACTCTGAAATTTCAGATCTTATCACTTTCTGTCATGGTGTTGGTGGCTACCATGAGCGTATAGGGGGTTGGTTTACAAGCTATGCTGACGACATTGTCCAATCTTCTGCAAGCAAAATACTGTGTATTTTTTTTTTTTTTTTGTTATGCACGTGATGATTATTCCTTGCAAAGTGATGATATTTTTTTTTCTGCTATATTCGCCAGGCAAAGGCAAAATTCCCTGAAAAGTGAAGTCGATTTTGTCTTTAGTAAATCAACCCCGAAGACAGCGACTCTCCCCTGTAGGATCATAAAGATCACTTTAAAACATAATAGATTGTAGACTACTTTCTCAGATTAACAATGCAATATAATAGTGTAATTTTGGGCTCTTGAATGTATTTAAAGGTTAAGTACACCTATCGTTACATGTTACATCCAAATTCAGGGTGTAACATGTTACATCTGGACCAGCCCCTGCTCCCTCCCCACTCCCTTTTGAGACAGCTAGCAGGAGATCTTCTCTCCGGTAGCTGTCACAGTTTTTAAAAAACGCAGCTGTGCGGGGCTCCGCCCTCCCAGCCATGTCAATCATTCACAGTACTCTGTGGATGATAACCCTGCAAGTTCAACAGCCTTTGTGGTTGTCAGCTTGTAGTTCTCAATGAAGTACCATGTCGCTATGGAGCATCGTGGTAGTTCATTGAGTCTTCCTGTCAGGTATCTGCTTTCCCATATGGGATGTATGGGCAAGCAGATATACCTACAGGTATGGAGGAGACCTTCATGGCACCAGCGATCTGCTGATTGCTGGTGCAATGCTTTAGAGGCTTCAGAAACAAAAATGAATGAATGCACTTCTTCCTTTTTTTTTTTTTTTTTTTTTTTTTTATTACCTGCAAAAATGTGAATTTTATTATTTTTTGTAAAAAGGTGAACAAATCCTTTTTAAGTGTAGTTGGGATACATTTTTCTGTAACTTAAACCAAGTTTCCTTAACCTAAAAGAGAAAAAAAAACATCATAAGCATTTATAGCATGCAATCACATGATCTGCAACTTGCAGCATTATTAAAGACCAAATCTCCTGTAAGATCATGTCCATGAGCAGAAAAGAGGCTATCTGCTTTTTATATGAGCTAAAAAATGCAGCTGGTGTGGCTGCTGTGCAGTGAAAGGTGTAATTATTTTTAATGGGAACTGTATGTTTGGTACACATTTATGTGGTTAGAAAATCCGGCTGCACTGCGGGAGGATCTGTGCCTATTTTTAGTGCAGTTTTATGACTGCATTAATGTGTACTAACTTATATTTTCCAATAAACGTTATTGAATGTAGTTTGGGAGTACACTTGTCACCCAGCGCTGGGAAGGTTCTGCATGTAAACTACATAGGCCTCTTACAAATGTTTGTGCCCCTCTGCTATGACAATGTGGCATAAAGCCAGTATTTGGTAAAGGAAAGGGACACCAGAGGCATATTACAGCCCTACACATTTATTAATGGTTTCAATTCAGGACAATGTCTATGGATAGAAGTGTACCATTTATCATAAAGTAAAACTATTGAGCAGGAGCAAGGAACAAAAGTTTCTAAAATGGACAATTGGTACAGCACATCATGACAAATCATCTTATGCTTTGGCTATGAAAGGTAGTTTGCAGAAAACATTATGGCCTTATGTGCTCGTTTGTGATGGTTACTCAGAGTATGTCTCCTGGTCCTGGATCTTTCACACAGTTACTGTTCCAGAAGCCAGTCTGAGAATGTAATCAAGCAACTGATTGTATAGCTAAAGTTAGCACCATGTAGTGTCCAAGTCCTTTCCTAGCACATGCACATTTAAAGGGTGACCAAGGATATGTTCTTCCACTTTTGCAATCAGCAGGAAGCTAAGGCAATACCTCCTATTGTTATAAAGAGCCAAAAAAAAACAACACCCAACAGCTACAGGGATGGACTGAGGATATACATACATGTTCAAGGTAAGAACTTTTTTTTTTAACAATACTAATCCATGGTTAATGTTCTTTAAAAAACAATGTGACTTTAGTGCTGCTTTTAAAGATGCTTAACTTTTTTTGTCCTTAGTTAACCGATCCCACCCTCCACTTTCACAGATCTGACATCTGTGACCTCAATTGTTTATTTACATTCAGTTCCACAAGTCTCCTTTCTCTTGGCCATGCAGGTGTATTACAGTCCCACAGAATAGTATGAGCCTGTAATGCACCAGTGTGGGCAGGATATTGAGACCGTGCTGGATGTAAATTAACAACGGAGGTCATGGCAGTCAGACCTCACCTCGATAAGTATACATCTTTTGAGGAGGAAGATGAGCTCTGAGGGGAGGGGGGGGGGGGGGGTACCACTGTTCAGTGCTAAGGGGGCATCAGTTACTCTTAATGTGGTCCTGGTACATACCAACCACACTGCACCAGAGTTTGAAGCAGATGTGCAAGTCAAAGGTTTATGAAGGATGCAACAGCTGTCCCTTTTACAGATTGGGTATTGAATGCCCACATACTGGTCCTTTTTTCTTCTCCTGATATTGGCCATATACTGTAAACACTACTACAGATGCAGTATTTTATACAGCCAGATTTTTTTGTAATTGATTTACTGCCTCTCTAAGTAGTTGCATAGACTGACCAATTCTAATGACAGACCTCCTGTAACTACTTTCCAAACTCTTTAACAGAGCCAAAAACAATGGGCTTGAAATTTACTACAAGAATTTGGATACTGCAGAGAGTACAGCAGTGTAAAATTGGCTAGTATCAGGATAGTTTCAAGAAGGGATAACAGCAGGGCTGCTGTTAGAAACCCTGGGGCCCCATAAGTCAACCTGACAGGGCCCCCTTCAAAAAACAAAACACAATATCCTATGCTTCAGTTATGAACACAGTGAGTGGTCAGTACAGATCGTTTGTTGTGTCCATTCAGGGAAGGAAGGGGCTGGTTAATGTGACATTTATCGAACCCTTCCCCCACTCTCCATCCTGAAGGATCCTATTGTTTGCTTGCAGCTGCCAGTGGAAAGGAGAGGAGGGAAGCCGGCACTGTGTGAATCAGATGTCCACAGGGAGGGTGATTGGTATGGTGGGCTGATGAGGGGGGCAATTACTGGAACTGATCTCCTGTATGGCTCTGTGCAGCAGCTGAGAACCAGTGGAAGGGAGAGGAGCAGAAGCCAGCTTTCAGATGCTGCAGAGAGAACCATACAGGATATCTGTTACAGTAGTTGTGCCCCCCCCCCCCCTCACTGCGCTGATTACCCTCCCTGCCCACATCCGATTCACCCAGCTGCCTAGCTTCCCCCTCCTCACTCAAAGAAAAGGTGCAAAGTGTATGGACCAATCTAGCAGGCTGAATGGGAAAAAAAAAAGTACAGATCGCTGTACTAACACATCCATAGCTCCCTGAGCTATTGTGTTCTGACGGGGCAGTCACCCCCCCCCCCCCCCCCCACCACCACCACCACGACACAGATTAGCACTCGCAGCCATTGGCTGGTTTTTCCAGCATGTCCATTCGACAGAAGCTGGTCGAGAAGCTGTACACACAGACCAAAAGTAGTCCACTTCCTGCTGAACTGACTGACTGTTTTCTACCAATTCTCGCCCCATATGTACCCTGCTTAAGTGTAGTAGGTGTTTGAACGTTAATTTAAAAGGATAATTTGCAGCTCACATAAAATAAAGTTAATAGAGCTTATTATGGTTCTCAAAAGGGATCACAGCCTGGGAGGTCACCAAAGGAACGGTCACAATGGATACTCCTAAATATGGGTGTAACATGTTACTAAAGATTAACGTAGCCCTTAAGGGGGAGAGGCTGGAGGAGGTAAAAATGCATGTCAGCAGTGTGTCTTTACTGTTCCCTCCCAATTCATGTGTAAAAGAGGCCTAAGGGTCCCTGAAGGAACCACGTGACAATTTCTCTTCATCAGGCTAGGATTTAGGAAACACGGTCAGCAAGGATATCTTTTTGTTGTGTTTGTTTTTTTTAATTTAGCAACAGAGTTGCTTTAAGGCAACCATATAAACTGTGTATAAAATATGGTTCCCAATACTGGTACACAATGAAATTGTGTTGAGTGATGAGATACCACCACACGTGTCAATTCTAAAAAGTGAAAAACTATGATTCCCAATATTGTCCATAGGCAATGCTTTAGAAGTCTTTACAGCTTATCATTTTAGAGTTAACTATAAAGTTCTACTTTTAGGGCTCATTCACACCATGGTGCAGAGATTTCAGTTTTTCTGCACACATTCTGCTGGGCACAACAAAAACAATTGTTCTGTATGTGCCCTGTTCGTACCATAACAACGTGCTGTGTTTTTTTTTTTTTGCGCAGGAATCTGCAACGTGAATAAAACCTATTGAGGTGCACATGAAAACTGATATAAAGTGATGTGTCTGGAAATGGAATCTGCACATCGGTTTTCTATTTTTCTGCAGGTATGGCGTGAATGAGGCCTAAAGCGTACCTTTGGGGACCTGTATAGTCTATCTCCAGACACAAGACATTTTCCATAATACAGGGGAGCCCCAATTCTGGACTGTTATAATGTGAATTTTAACCATAGGTTGTATAGTATGTTTGCACTCTAACTTATCCATCCAGTCTACCCAACTCCCCTATCCGTGATTAAATGTAATAGAGTGTCTTATTGGCCAGCATGATTGGAGGGCCACAGTGTGGAAATGCAACCTTTGGTCAGGATTAGCATAAAAGAGATCTGAGTTTTAGGAATGCTGAAGTCAAGGCCATTTAAAAAACTGCGTGGGTTGAAGGCAGATATCTCATGAGTACCACCGCTCCACTGCTGATAATGACACCCAACACCCCCCCAAAAAAAACAAAATCCCTCTGCCTATCATAATTGGTGCCTGAACTTTTTTTTTTTTTGGCATGATAGACTCAATGTCGCAAATGAAGATGTTAATCCACTTACAAAAATTCTCGTATGATAGAATAGAATATTGAAAGTCATGTAATGTATTGTATTTGTATTGTATTTTTGGACAAAAACTGTACTGATTAAATGAAAATTGTACAGTCTGGTAGTATTGTATGAGATAAATGTGTGTTCGTCCCTTTGCATAATTTTGGATGAGCTGTCGTTACCAGTTGTCAAAAGCTGTGTACAAACTATCAGAATATCATAAGATCGCTTGGAAAGCAGTATGTTTTGTAAGGTTTTCTGATCGTGTGTACAAGGCTTAAGTAGGACATAGGTGGTGTTTGACAGAATGAGTCCTCTTGTGCTAACTACAACAATCAGCAAGTGGGGTTTATTGGGGTAGCTGCACCCTTCCTCTCAAGACTTCACCTACTGTACATCATCATGTAGGCAACGTTTGGCAGGAAGGTTTCCACTGCACCAATTCCAAACATAGGCAGTGGCACTCTAGGACTGTTGAGAAGTCTGGTGGTTAGCCCATAGCCCCCCCCCCAACCCGGTGGACCTGGTACAACTGTCCCATTTTTAAAATGAAGGTGACCCTGTCTGCGGTTTCCTAGAAATTAACTGATGATGCTTGCTGTCATTTGGAAGTGTCTGCTTTACAGAGTGGGTCTAATTTATGATTGATTAAGGCACCACAGGTTGGCTTTCAATCAGTGACAGAAGTGCTGATTTATTGCCTGTACAATTGTTGCGGAAGATGTATTCTCTGCACTAGTGTGGATTGACAGCCTCTGACTGCTCTACACATATCTGTGACAGTTACACTTAAGAATGTAATCCCAATCATCTCCTTACATTCTCCAGCCTGTAAGTACATTTAATGTGTACTTGATAAGGAAGCACTTATTGGAAAGCTAATTAGCATACTTTTGTTAAGGGCACAAGGCCATCACATTTGATGAGATCTGAGCCTTTCCCACTGACCTCCAGATTGAGATGATAAAGCCATCATTAGCTCAGTAGGGAATTTGCACACTGCTATTTTCAAACTAAACAGGAAACTAAGCCTGAGGCAGCCCTAACTATGTTAAAGCAGAACTCCAGCCTTCCATTTAGTCTCAGTTGTACATGCTTCTCTCTCCTGTATGGAAACTGCTTACTCTGATTTCACTGCAGACTGAGCTGCTCTCAGCATGCATTCGAAACTGCAGTCAAAGCCGGTCTCCTTTCCTAGCTGGAGGATGTCCAGCACCATTTAGGCTTTTTCTTCCCAGCCTGACTGTCCCTGGCCTGCTCTCATTCTATGGGGGTGACCAGGGATTTTTTATTTTTTTTTTTGTATTACTCTTGATTGCTGTTAAAGTGGTGACGACTGTAACATCACTGTTTTGAATGGTCATGAATGGGTTTCATTTATAGCAGCTGTCATTTATATTGTGTGCTATGATTTGGCCAACAGCTACCATATGGTACAGGATGATGTGATTGGCCCACAGCTATCACATGGCACCTGGGGCCAATCACAGCATCACACTACCAAGCACAGCTGTTGTGAATGAAACCTATTCATAAGTTGTGTTTACACTGCAGTCACGTGATACACCAGCTGCCGCAATCTGCACTGTGCACCCACTATCCAGCAATGTACATATGTGTTTGGCTGTGCCTCCCGCTCGCAGTAAAATTACCATGGGTGGGATGGCAAGGCCATTTCAAACTTAGACAGAGACAGGCAGAGTACTTGTCTCTGTACACTACTGTGTAGCAGATTGGCATGTTTGATGCAGCTACCACTTCCCCTCCCCACCTGTCACTGCTTGTCAAGGTCGCTGTCAGCTTTGCAGCCGATCGGCTCCTAGAAACAAGTGATGCTGAGAGTGGGCGGAACCTGATGAGGAAACTGAGTTACTATGCCCCCATCAAGTCTACCTTCTTCTCGTAATTGACAGTAGCCAGATTATATAGCCAATTGCAGGGCATCTACTGCCTGCTTTTGTCAGTCACAAGTGGACCCTAATGAGGAACTAGTACATCTAAATCCCCCATCAGGCTCCACCCAGCTACAAAACTACTGGGCTACTCCACTCTTCGCCTGACAGCTGTGGTGGTGGGAGGTAGTGTGTTTGTATGGGCTCCCTAGCCTAACCGTGCCTCTGCAAGCTGGGCTTGCCCCAAATGTATATACTCTTTATGAATTATACTGTATATATTTTTTTTCTGAAATGCACTCAGTTCTAGGGTGTAATTGTGAGCTAACCACATAATTATGGATGGAATTTCTACTTGAAATTAATTTCAAAGTTAAAATGAGTTAAATGTCACTATTATAAAGTAGACCTGTTGAAATATGAAAGTTGCCACTGTCAACTGTTTTTAAACTGCAAGCTCTAAGGCTGTCATCCTAATCCTGGCTTCACTCAGATGGTCAAACCAATATACAGCGCTTCCCCAGGAGGGACCTCAGTATTTACCTGGTTCTTCCCCCAACAGTGCAGAGGCCACCCATCCTCCCAGACACGTTTTTCACTTACTCTGGACAATCTAGGGGATGTCTTCTTTGTGTTTATTGCTTTAACAGGAGAGGACAATGGGATATAGGATACTCCAAAATATTAAGCACAATTCGTAGAGGACACTTCTCTCTCCTAGTAACAGCAGCACAGTCTACCACTCACAATTGGGGAATATGAGGTAGATTTTAGCTCAGGTAACAGACTAAAACAGTCTGTATCCTCACAGTTGGGAACCACGAAGTAGCCGGTAGCACAGTTACAGGTAGACTGCAACAGTCTGTAGATTCACGGTTGAGGACCATGAATAACATTGGCAGCAGAGAAAAATGGGGCGTTCTCATATCCTGGAACAGGAGAATTCCATAGGTTCAGTCCCTTGAAGAACAGTCCAGCATCCAGTCTAAAAGCAGTTCAGGGGCAGCAGCCCACTGAAGCTTGCAGATCCAATCCCTCACAGTAAAAAGACAGTCTCTTCAGGACTCCAGACTAACAGCATCCCAGCCACCATTTGGGCATACCTTCCCAAGGATTGGCTAGGGCCTACTCAATATTCAGGTTGGTCATTTAAATTCTCCTTCCCTGAACTCCAGAAACCTCTTCTAGCAGCTGTGGAAAGCAATCAACTCCCAGCCTGTAAAGCACCAAACAGATCAGGCCAAACAATCGCTACTCCCCTAATTAGAGAAGAAGCCAAAAACTAAGTTTTCCTAGCCAACTAACAAGGAGGGTGCTACAGATACATAATAGATGTACAGCTTCTCTATATTGAATGCACATAAAAATCCCTTTCCTTTGTAATCTTGTAACTTTGTAATTCAAGAGCTACAATTAATATTGATAAAAAGGAGATAACACTTTAATATTATTATACAGGATTTATATAGCGCCAACGCTTTGCTCAGCACTTTACATTATAGTGGGAGACAATACAGTTCAATACAAGAGGGATTTGAGGGCCCTGCTCCTTGGAGCTTACAATCTAGGAAGGAGGGGTGAATGGTACAATCGGTAATAACTGTGGGGGATGGAGTGGTTGGAAGAGTAAAGGATTACAGTATTAGCAGAGGGCGGGATAGTTTTCCCCGAAGAGAGGTTTTCAGTGATCGCCTAAAAGTAAGTAGTGTAGGAGATAGGCTGATAGATTGGGGTAGGGAGTTCCAGAGGATGGGTGACGCCCTGGAGAAGTCTTGGAGACGAGCATGGGAGGAGGAGATAAGGGAGTTGGAGAATAGGAGGTCTTGTGAGGAGCGGAGTGTACGGTTTTGGTGATATTTAGAGATAAGATCGGTTATGTAAGTTGGGGCAATGTTGTGGATGGCTTTATATGTCATTGTTAGTGTTTTGAATTTTATCCGTTGGGCAACTGGGAGCCAGTGGAGGGATTGGCAGAGAGGGGTAGCAGATACAGAATGGTTAGCGAGGTGGATGAGTCTGGCAGCAGCGTTCATGATAGACTGGAGGGGGGATAGCCTGCGATGAGGTAGGCCAATGAGGAGGGAGTTACAATAGTCGAGACATGATATTGCAAGGGAGTGAATAAGTAGCTTAGTGGTTTCTGGGGTTAGGAACGGTCATATCTTGGAGATGTTGCGGAGGTGAAGTCTACATGATTTTGTCAGCGATTGGATCTGGGGCTGGAAGGACAGATTGGAGTCTAGGGAAACACCTAGTACCTGGCATGAGGGGATGGACTGATGATTGTGTTATCGATATTTATGGTGAAGTCAGTGGAGGTGGCACGGGCAGGGGGGAATACTAGGAACTCCGTTTTGGGCAGGTTGAGTTTCAGGAAGTGGAGTGACATCCAAGCCAATATGTCACTTAGTAGGCTTGCGATGCGAGTGGAGACTGAAGGGGTGAGGGGTAGACAGGTTTGCGTGTCATCGGCATAGAGATGGTAATTGAAGCCATGGGAGTTTATCAAGTGACCAAGGGAGGAGGTGTAGATGGAGAAGGGGTCCAAGGACCGAACCTTGAGGGACCCTACAGAGAGAGGGAGTAAAGAGGAGGTGGCAGCGTTATAGGTAACACTGAAGGAGCGCTGCGATAGGTAGGAGGAGAACCAGGAAAGAGCGGAGTCTCTGAGGCCAAGAGAGTAGTTTTTTGAGGAGGAGGGGATGGTCAACCGTGTCAAAAGCTGCGGAAAGGTCGTGTAGTAGGAGTATTGAATAGTGGCCGTTGGTTTTAGCAATTAGTAGATCATTAGAGAGTTTTAGCAGGGCAGTTTCAGTGGAGTGTAGAGGTCGAAAGCCAAATTGTAAGGGGTCGAGAAAGTTGTTGTCAGTGAGGTGGGCGCTCAGACAATTGTAGACTAACTGTTCTAGGAGTTTAGAGGTAAATGGCAGCAAGGAGATGGGTCTTAGGTTGGTGGGGTCTAGGTAGGGTTTTTTAAGTACTTTCAAAGATATTAGATATAGAGGCAATTTATATCCTTATTGTGATGCTAGAGATAATTACTTCTTACTATGGCATATTTTTATATTCTGCATGCTTTGCATATCTTGTTTTACCTCTTCCCCTCTTGCCCTTATGATGTTAAACCCTACCCTGTTTTCCACCACTAGACCTGTATTACATGTGATAGACTACTAATTTTCAATGAAGCGTTTGTTTCCCTTTCATGAAACTTATCTGGGGAGAAAAAAAACCCCCAAAACATTTAGGTATTAAAAAAAGAAAAAAGCTACTGATGCAGAAAAACATTAGGACTCCAGATTTCAAATTTATTCCTGCCATTTTGCTGAAACCCAGAGCCCCTGAACAGCAGTAAATCTTTTGGCCGTCAGCAGATTGGCCTCTACATTTTCTGCGCACAAAGCGCAACCGAGCAAGTACAGAGCAGGGTGAGACAGTGTATTACTGGATTTTAAACTGTATATCCACTTGTTTTTAATGTTTTACATAGCTTTGCCTACAAAAAGGGGTTGGAATGAAGTCGTTTAGCAGGACTTAATTTTCTGATTAAAGTTCTACTTTGTCATCCACCTTTACAACAAGTCACCATTGGTAGCTTTCATAACAGGTGTCCATTGTTGCCTTTAGGGCCCGTTCACATTAGAATGTGGTGCAGGAAACCCACGTTCTCTGCACTGCATTCAAATTTGCACTACCTTTGTGATCTGCAGAAACTCATCATAACGCTTTCCTGTGCAATTCGCATGCAGTTCCTGGTGTGACTGGTTCCCTCCAGAGGTATGCATATATGCTGCCTCTCGGTGAGTGGGCTGGCTGGCTTTAACACAGAGAGGCCGCATATATGTGTCTCTAGGTTAAACACTTACAGCCTTATCAGTGGCCCTGAATAAAGCCACCATATTTACAGATTGATAAGCTGCAATACATTACATGTTTTTGGGTTTAATACTGTCTTAAGTCTGTCACCCTGGGAAAGGGGGCCATAGTGTCCTATAAACAATGGTGGTTATTTTTTTGTTTCACAATCGATGCTGTTACTAAGATCCCAATTAAGAGCTAAGATCTGTACCCTCTGGTGCGCTGGTCATTTCTGCTATGTAAGCAAGAAAAACCTGACAGAGGTTCTAACCATGCTCCACTCTACCCAAAACAAAAAAGGTTTGATTTTATGTAGGCCATGGTCTGCTGCTGCTCTGGTCCACAGCACTGCCAGGGGCGCGGGCTGACATTTGGAAACTCGGGCACTGCCCGAGGGCCTGGGGTCAGTAGGTGGCCCCATGAGATGCCCCTGGTACCTTTTTTCATAGGCTTTTTTTAGTTTGGGCAAGGACACAGGGGCCCCATGATCCCCTATTGCCCGGGGGCCTCATGAGTTATCAGTCAGCCCCTGAGCACTGCAGTGTTTGGCAGAAGGGGGGACTATTATTGTTGCTGCAGGCTGTGTGTGTACCCTATTAAGCCCACCCACCACACAGGACCATAGAGAGGAAAAGGAAACTGACCTTCTGTGGATTGTTGGAAGGACAGAGCCTTCTGCGACAAAGAAAAACAATGGGTGTAATAACAAGAGGTGCCATCAAAATATTTATGGGAAAAAACTCTTTTTGTGGGATTCTAAAGTCACAGACAAAACCGATAATTTCATAAAAAGTTGAAAACGTAATAAACCATACTCTATACAAAATGTTTTGAACATTTAATATAAGTGCAAAATATGGGGGTAATACAGGACATAACTATTGCAATGAATACATACAGTAAATCATGCATGTACTTGACACGTTTCGAGACACAGTAATATCTTCAGAAGTGCTTAGAAGGCATGACACCTATAATAAATATGTAATTATTGTCATATCTTCATATATATATCCAAGAAAAAAGTGCAATCTAAAAAAACATTATTTTTACTTACATAGGAGCAGAGAACATGAGGAAAGTGCCAATTGACTAAAACCATGATTGAAGTTGATGTGGCCAATATCTCCAAGATTCTCCCAAGAATGAAGAGATAAAAATAAGAAAGGGAGGAAGAAGCAGACGCCATACCACTCCCCTCCAAGAGAGACCCCTTCATGGCCCCAAAGGGGCAGCCATACGGGATGCCCAATCCCAAATGGTGACTTCTATGGAAATGTATGAATAAACAGTGAAAAACGGACAAATAGTCATAGTGCACAAAAACATAAGAAAAGCCAATGTCGCTATTATATAAAAAAAAAAAAAAACAGAAAGAAAAGGCTTACTAAGAATGGATATGTAGCAAATCCTGTTCAATATTAAGTGGTTGTCTATTATCATCATGATTCTAATAGGATCTATTAATTTTTGGGAGGATATTGGCCACATCCACTTCACTCATGGTTTTAGTCAATTGGCACTTTCCTCATGTTCTCTGCCTCTATGTGGGACTATGTAAGTGAAAAATAATGTTTTTTGAGATTGCAATTCTTTCTTGGATATATGTGAAGATATGACAATAATTACATGTTTATTATAGGTGTCATGCCATCTAAGCACTACTGAAGAAGAGATTACTGTCTGTCTCGAAACGTGTCAAGTGCATGCATAATTTATTCTCACTTATGTATCCATTGCAACAATTATGTCCTATATTACCACCATATTTTGTGCTTGTGTCCTTTTAACATTTTGTATAAATAAAGTATGGTTTATTGAGCATGCTGGGAGGGACTATGATTTGTGGGGAATGTAATCCCCAGGGAGACTGAGCCTGTACTGCAGATTAGCTCTGGAACTATATTCCTATATTCCTTCCATTTACTGATTTTGTTATGGTGTATTATCTATATTATCTACGCATCTCATTATTTGTCTTGGATTTCTGTGTTGTGATTAGCGCAACATCAATTTTCTGTTTGTTGTTTTTTTGCTAGTGGTATAGCCAGGTGTGTGCTGCTGTCCCAATATTCCCATCTTTTCTAGTAGCGGCGCAAAAACGTTTTTTTACATATATTTTAGCTCTAGAACTACAACCCCCAGCGTTAACGGAGCTCTGGAGAAAAGAAAAGGAAGGGCTGTTCCTGGGCTCGGGGAAGCTGCAGAGAGGATGTGGTGGTAGAAAGAATAGGGTTGATTTACCAAAACTGGAGAATGCATAATATGGTGCAGCTGTGCATGGAAATGAATCGGATTCCAGGTTTTTTTTTTTTTTTTTTTTGTCAAAGCTTAATTGAACAAGCTGAAGTTAGAAGCTGATTGGTTTATATGTAGAGCTGCACCAAACTTTGCATTCTCCAATTTTATTAAATCGAGCCCTTTTGTGTAAGCGGTTGCTGTCAGGTCAGTTTACCAGAGTGTTGGGGATGCAGGGAGGCTGAGTAGTGGACATTCCCTGCTCTGTGAGAATGCTGCTATCGAGCCTGGTGTCATTGCTTGATCATGGGGAGAATATCACTGCAGCTGACACCACTGAGCTCCAGACAGAGAGCGAGAGGTGCCAAGTTAGCACCCTATTACCTGGTGAGATGCCGCTGGCCATACCCTACCACACCTTAAAGGAACAGTTTTGCCTATTGGGGACACATTCTGGCATCTAATACTGGGTTTGGAGGGACTTCATTTTTGAGTGCTTCAACACTGAATTTGAGTCCCAATGTACTGACCAGTAGGAAAGAGTTTGACAAAGACTGCTGGACCATTAGCATAGCACCTTAGACAGGACCTTCCCTAGTATAGAGGTTAGGGGTCAATATCTGGTCCACCTGTTTATTACTAATTGTATACTTTATTTTTCCCATTACTTATATTTGTTTAAGTGATTATTGCCGGTTTTTTCATTTCTTTGACACACTAGGGCTGAAGGTTGGATATGTATAGCAACAATATAGACAATAATACAATAGCCAGAGAGCATGGTGCTGCCTGGAGAGCCGTGGCCACTGGGAACAGGGGACCTGAGAAACAAGGGCTCCTTTAGGGGTAAGTGGTACATTTTAGATAAACTTTAAGGCCCCCTTAACACGGACATCATGTGTTCAGTCAGGTTTTTTTTCAAAATAAAAATAGATGCAGTTTACATCAGTTTGCACTTCAGTTCAATTTTATATCAGCTCAGTTCAGTTCACACCAGTTCACAACCGTTCTGTATCAACAGATCTGGGTACTTGTCTGTTAATTCACATATATATATATATATATATATATATATATATATATATATATATATATATATATATATATATATATATATATATTTATTTGCAAGAAAAAGTATGTGAACCCCTTGGGATTACGTGGAGTTTTGCATGAATTGTGATTTAGATGACGTTCAGAGCACATTTTATGCCCAACAATAGAAGAACACAGTCTGCTGAACATAATACTACACAAACATTAGATGTTGCCATGGTTTAATTGCACATAACATGTAAACATTCACAGTGCAGGGAGGAAAAAGTATGTGAACCTTTGGACTTAATAACTGGTTGACCCTCCTTTGGCAGCAATAACCTCAACCAAACGTTTCCTGTAGTTGCAGATCAGACCTGCACAACGATCTGGAGTAATTTTGGACCACTCCTCTTCACAAAACTGTTTCAGTGTAGCAATATTCTTGGGATGTCTGGTGTGAATCGCTCTCTTAGGGTCATGCCACAGCATTTCAATCGGGTTGAGGGCAGGACTCTGACTGGGCCACTCCAGAAGGCGTATTCTGTGCTGTTGCAGCCATTGTTTTGTTGAATTACTTGTATGCTTTGGGTCATTGTCCTGTTGCATCACCTATCCTCTGTGGAGCTTCAGTTGGCGGACAGATGGTCGTACGTTTTCCTGCAAAATGTCTTGATAAACTCTGGAATTCATTTTCCCATCAATGACAACAATCCGTCCAGGCCCTGAGGCAGCAAAGCAGCCCCAAACCATGATGCTCCCTCCGCCATGTTTTACAGTGGGGATGAGGTTTTGATGTTGGTGTGCTGTGCCTTTTTTTCTCCACACATAGTGTTGTGTGTTCTTCCCAAACAACTCAATCTTGGTTTCATCTGTCCACAGTATATTTTGCCAGTAGTGCTGTGGAACATCCAGGTGCTCTTTTGCAAACTTCAAACGTGCTGCAATATTCTTTTTGGACAGCAATGGCTTCCTCCGTGGTGTCCTCCCATGTACTCCATTCTTGTTTAATGTTTTCCTTATTGTAGATGTGTCAACAAAAATGTTAGCATGTGCCAGTGATTTCTGTAGGTCTTTAGCTGACACTCTGGGATTCTTCTTTACCTCATGCAACATTCTGCGCTGTGCTCTTGCAGTCATTTTTATAGGACGACCATGCCTAGGGAGAGTAGCAACAGTGCTACACTTTATCCATTTGTAGACAGTCTGTCTTACCATGGACACATGAACATCAAGGCTTTTGGAGATACTTTTGTAACCCTTTCCAGCTTCATGCAAGTCAACAATTCTTGATCGTAGGTCTTCTGAGAGCTCTTTTCTGCGAGGCATGGTTCACATCAGACAGCGCTTCTTGAAACCAGTAAACCCAAAACAGGTGTGTGTTTTTTAAGGGCAGGACAGCTGTCGGCAACACATCCAATATAATCACACTGATTGGAGTCAAGGTTGGCTCACTCCTGGCTCCAATTAGCTCTGGGAGAAGTCATTAAGCTAGGGCCTCACATACTTTTTCCTCCCTGAACTGTGAATGTTTACATGTTATGTGCAATTAAACCATGGCAACATCTAATGTTTGTGTAGTATTATGTTCAGCAGACTGTGTTCTTCTATTGTTGTGACTTAGATGACGTTCAGAGCACATTTTATGCCCAATTCATGCAAAACTCCATGTAATCCCAAGGGGTTCACATACTTTTTCTTGCAACTGTATGTATGTATATGTGTGTGTGTGTGTGTGTGTGTGTGTGTGTGTGTGTATATATATATATATATGTGTATATGTGTGTGTGTATATATATGTGTGTGTGTATATATATGTGTGTGTGTGTGTGTATATATATGTGTGTGTGTGTGTGTGTGTGTATATATATGTGTGTGTGTGTGTGTGTGTATATATGTGTGTGTGTGTGTGTGTGTGTGTATATATATGTGTGTGTGTGTGTGTGTATATATGTGTGTGTGTGTATATATATGTGTGTGTGTGTATATATGTGTGTGTGTGTGTGTGTGTATATATATATGTGTGTGTGTGTGTATATATATATGTGTGTGTGTGTGTGTGTGTGTGTATATATATATATGTGTGTGTCACAGTGTGTGTGTATATATATGTGTGTGTGTGTGTATATATGTGTGTGTGTGTGTGTGTGTGTGTGTGTGTGTGTGTGTGTGTGTGTGTGTGTGTGTGTGTGTGTGTGTATATATATATATATGTGTGTGTGTGTGTGTATATATGTGTGTGTGTGTGTGTATATATGTGTGTGTGTATATGTATATATATAAATAAATCCAGTGAATTAACAGACAAGTACCCAGATCTGGACACTGGCTCTTTGGTTTAAAAAAAAAAAAATG